CCACAGGCTTCAGGCCAGGTTGAGAGAGCAAACAGGACTGTGGTGAGTATTTTGAAAAAATACGTAGCCGCAAACCACAAGGACTGGGACGTGAAACTCCCTCTGGTCCTCATGGCCATAAGGGCCACTCCACACACATCGACTGGCATCTCTCCTTTCGAGATGATGACGGGTCGACAAATGACTCTCCCTCTACACCTGTTGTACCAACCGGGCGATGCTGCCATGGCAACAGCCTACACTACACAACAATACATGAAAGACTTGGAAAAACACCTTAAAAACACTTTTGCTTTCGCACAGAAAAACCTGGAAAAATCAGCTGAAGGACGCAAAGCGTACTACGACCAAAAGGCCTCTCACGAGGAACTCCAAGTGGGAGACAGGGTCTGGTACTACACGTTTGCCCCCACAACTGGGAGAAGAGAGTCCGGGACCGGAACTCTCGCCCGTAAACTGATGCCCAGATGGACTGGACCCCATCTGATAACAGACAAACTGTCTCCAGTTGTCTATCAGATAAAAATCAGTAAAGGCCAAAAAGAGCCAACTGTTAAATGGGTACATCGAAACCAGGTTAAACCACACAAGGCGTGCAATAACTCCACAGGAGACAAAGATCTCACAAAATCTGACCTCGTGGGAATAAGGGTCACCCAAGCAGAAGATAACTAATGGATAATAAACTTAACCATAGTTTAAACTCACAGGACCTACCCCTGACGGTTATGAAGCTAAGACCTATCTCTTTGTGTTTCCATAGGACAATGATGGTACCACTCCTGGTAATCTTCACCCTCTTGGGTGCCATCCAAGAAGGGCAAGCCAAAATCGTAACCCTTGGACCCACCTCAGGCATCGCTCTGAGGGACCAGCCGGGACTGCTCATCACAGACTGCCGCCTATACACTCGGAAGGTCTTCGTCCGCTTCGACCCCCAAACCGTGATCAGACAACACATTAACCTTAAAAACGAGTGGCTAAACAAAACATGGTATACGGTATCCCTAGAGAGTGCAAAAGGAGAGATCCGGCACGTCCTAAAGCAACCACATAAGTTCACTCACACCCAACAAGAGTTGGGCGGAACAGGTAGGAGGCAAAAGCGCGGCATCGGCGGGCTTTTGCTTGCTGCTTCATCACTAGGATTGCTGTTTAGCCTAGGTTTGTCCGCATTCAACACTGTCAGTATAGTGTCCTTAAAACAACACGTGTCTGAAGTAGAGAGTGAGGTCCCAAAGATCCGAGCACTAATGGACCTTCAACTAACAAAATTGACACAAGTGACTGAAACCGTAAAAGATACTGTTCTAGTGCTGAATACTCACACCCAAGAAATCAAAGCCCTCGTACATGCGGTAAATGAGTTAACCCTTATGGTTGAAATGGATTACGCTGTCGCACACCTGATGGATAGGATCTTTGCTGACATGCTTAGAGATATCAGCTCGTCGGTTGATACACTAGCCACCGGCAGGATCCCACCGTATCTAGTCTTGCTACAGATGGTGGACGACATCCTCAACTCCGCTACGCGCGAAAAAGTTACGCAAACACAGGCTCACCTGGCTTACACTCTCGGTAGCGCGATCCCAATCTACGTCAATCACAAGACGTTTGAAATGGCGTTCATTATCAACCTACCGATAATTCCCTCAAATGGCATATACAGACTCAGGGACGTTGGCAATGTTGGCAATTGGCACGGTGAAAACCATGTTCAAATCGACACACCAAGGATGGTTGCGTACCACAACGATAACCCCTCAGTTTATCTAGCTCCAAACCTTCAGATGTGTGTTCTCACTCGGGAGATACATTATCTGTGCCCGAGCAAACCGTTTGTGTGGAATAAAACCGCGGGCATATGCGGGTTGACACCTATTCCGGAAACCTCCAAGTGCTCAACGACCATAACGCCACGAAACTTAGCTAAGGCAGCAAAGGCGGAAATCGTTGGCTCACGTTGGCTAGTGAACGCCCCCCAAAGAGAGGCGATCATGGCCTACGAACAACCTGGGGCAAATAGACCCTTGACCTTACCGGACAAAACAATGTGGATCAGTGTTCCCCAGGGAACAACCATACACATTGGTGATTTGACGCTCTATCACCTCGATCCGGTACAATGGGAAGCAACTCTGGACGACTCAGAGTACCTAGAAAACATGACTATAGACATAGATCCCGGAACCTTAGGAAGGATCCGGTTTGAGGGTACCAAGGTCGTCGACGTGGAACCGATAAACCGAGTTCTCAAGTCCCTCAGGTCCGAGATTAATAACCCAATCCAACCGATTGCCTATGCGTGGTCAAGTGCAGACACGTTAGTCGTAGCCCTGCTAATGACGATAATCCTCGTGATGTGCGGGATACTCATATCCCTCCGGTCACTCCGAGTCCAACTAGATCGCCATGCAGCGCACCTTGACATGATTATGTCTCGCGCACGCGGGTCTGCAAAGAAACAACACAAACGGGACAGTGTGATTGAATCTGGCAACCAGGGTGAGAAGAAGCAGTGAAACGATGTTTCTAGATGCTTAGTCACTACTCTTGTCGATGTTGAAACGTTGTTTATTTGGTTGTGATAGTTGTTTCTGAGGAAAGAATGAATTTTGTGTGTAGTTTTAGTTGGAGACTGTAAAGGGTTTTAACTATGCCAACATGCAGTTCATTCGTTAAAATGCAATCTTTGCGGAGTCAATGTATATTAATGCTACCTTAAGTACCATAATCTACATTGATCTCACAACGCTTAAGCCGAACCTACTCGAACAATTCTATTCGGGGGGATAGCTAATTCTTTTTGATGAGTCTCGCCATAGACTTCCAAAACATTTATGGGGAAACCAAACACCCAATCTCAAGTCGTTCGTCTAAAAGACAACAGACAATTGAACCAAACTATATTTTACCATGTAAAGCTAACTTAAACCAAGTTAGGAAGGAAAAATAGTTTGGAACACCCTTCTATAGGCATAAATCCCTATTACTACCCTTTTCAGCATGTTCTACCCCTTAACTGGTAGCTGTAGCTGTTCCCAATCATAATAGCTTACACACCAGGTGCATATAGGTTAAGGCCTTATGTAAAATCCCCTTCATAAGCCCACCTTAAACCACATAATTGCATGACACATTGAACCAGAACGGCACCCTGGACGTCGCCCAGAGACGACCTTCACTGGAGGAGACCTGCAATCCTGACGTTGGTCTCCACTCTTCATCCAGTGGCTGCATCTTCAGTTCAATCTAAGGGAACCCCTCTGTATGCTGATCAATCAACACCTCCAATCGTTGTGAATTAATCGTTGTGGATTTACCGTTGTGGATTATATGACTTTTTCCAATGGATTACAGACTCTGTTTCCAAGGGGTTAAAGCATTGCTACAATGGAATTACCAACAACATTATGGAATTACCATCAACACAATGGAATTACCAAGAACATTGTGGGATTACCTCCTTTGACTTTTGTTTTCCTTGCTGGATTACATCAAGCTCAAGGACATTCGAAGGCGTAAGTTCATGTTGGAATTCATCCCCATGGACAGGCGATGATTTCCAAAGGGGGGACTGTAGTGAACTAAGCCTCAGGTCAAATCTGGCCTTGGGGGCCTTCTTGGGACAAGAACTGTATTTCATTGATCAATTGAAAGAACACTCTCTTTTCTATTATCATTACTATTTTACAAATGTTTTGATAATCAAATTGTGTTTAGTTCAAACCATTTTCAAATGTTGAAGTGAACTACTCATTTTAAATCAACTGTGAAACAGTATTAGTGATTTTTTTATCCTCATTCAAAATAGAAATCAGGTTAATGATGCATTCTGATTTTCTGTCTTCAATGAGCAAATTGTGAAGTTGGTCAAAGGTCAAGTTTCGGTCAACTGCAAGTTTACTGAAAAAGAAATGTCATGTTTAACTTTTTCAGGCAGATATGAGAGAATTGACTCCACGAAGTCTGGGTTCTTCATAACAATCTTCTGTCTGTTCTTAAACAAACTTAATCTTTTTCCTTGACTTTTAATAACCTCTTACATCACAAAAACACAACTCTGTTTGGTCAATCGACCAATCAGAAAGTTCTCAAATGAACCAGAAATAGAACTCTTTAAATGTCGGCACTTCCTAGTTCAAACCAGAGCTAGTGCAGTCGAGCGCAGTCGAGTTCGGTTCGGAGAGCAAACCGAACAGAGAAGTGCTGGAGAGAACAGGAGTTCCAGACATGATCCCGAGTTCTTCCGAGTCTCGTGGGAATTATGCAATCTTCCACATCTGAGTGGAACTCTGACGGACTTACTCCTCTTGTGAGTCCACCGAGAGGTGAACCTGTGTCGGACGGAATACAGGCACTACTTCGGACGATTCACAGCTGTTCCTACGGAGACGCTGAAAGGGTGCGTTAAATGGAACTCCGTACCAGTGGAGACATCTCCTCCAGGTAAAGAGTCGATTTACATTACCTAAGTGTACCGAGGAGGAAGCTGGGATCTTAACGGAGAGTGCCGTCCTGATACTGACATATTTCCCTCATCCATCTTTTCCTCTCCATTTAAACTTCATTTCCATCTTTAAACTCTTCTATTTGCTAGAAATCATTCCAGATATTTTCAGAAATGTCTGTTGTGAAGCAACGGAAAACCATGGCCGTATGGTTTTCCTGATTGTAAAGCTGATTAATTAAGCTGTTGTTATTTTCAATTTTGCCAAATTAATGTAAATGTTTGATGTTAAACTTTGATTCTGTTAATAAATGACGCATTCATTTGATGGGTCAAAGAAAATTAACGTCTCACGTTACATTTATTAAATTCAATGCACGATATTATTCAATCCAGAAAAATGAATGAATCCGTTTAATTTATGGATAATATATCACA